AAAGACATTCTTGGTAATTCACTTTTCATCGGTTTGTCATATTGCGTTGTATTTATGTATTTGTTCGCCGCACCTCACGCGCAAGATGTTACACGGTACGAAAAGGATGCGAAAGCATCTTTTAGCGGCGCATTCGCAACGGATCGCAAGATCGATCCGCAGAATCTAACAAGATTAAACGATCGCGCGGTGTATCATCTATGGAGGAGGAAGTTACGACTCGAGACGGAGTGCCTGTCGCTTCGCTCTTATTTTCATTTATGTCTGATAGCCGATCGGCTTTGAAACGGTAAAGCGATGAAGCGAGCGTGCATTAAGTCGCCGTTGTACATTAAACCGCGATCGTGGGTAACATGTGGTAAGGGAGATGAAGGGCGAGACGTTGCGGTCAACTAAAACGATTGGCCGGTCGTGAAAACAGTGGCGATCGCGCTTTCTTCCAAGAGGAGGAAATGAACCGTGTTTTATATGATCGTCGTCTTGAGGCAGCGCGATTACACTAACATATAATACATCCGATAGGCAGAATCGAGTTTTCAAGTCAGAGAAAAGTCGGGTATTAATCAAGCGGTATTCTCAGTTATCGCGTTATGTATTCGCATTATGTACTAAGTTTCTGCTATTATTCAACTACTGACTATTCATATTTCCGTCGTAGGAAAAGATTTATCCGCGCGTTGAACATATGAATGAATAAATAAATAATTAAATAAATATAATCATAAATATGATAAATATAATCATGATTAGGAGCTTTCAAGCGACTTCTGAAGCACGATGGATTCAACGTGATGCCCAGTGTTGCGAAAAATACGTCTCCTAGATTAACACGTGCGCTCACAAATAAATAATTACATAAATTATATAAAAACGTAATTTTATTCAATAAATAGTGAATTTATGAGTAGCTTCCTTGATGCGCCATTGGACGTTCTGGAAATACGCATCTGGTAAATAAACTCCTTAAAATTTTAGCTGCCGGTGAAACGGAGAGGGTGAAAGGTTGTTAACTCCGACATGCAGGTTGAAGGGACTACCTAACTAGCTCGGCCTGTTCAAAGATCAAAACAATTTACCGAGATAACTGTAACAGGGAACTCGCGCGCACGCTGGCCAATATTAACACGCATTGGTCTAGGTGGTCAATCTTGGCGCGAGATGATTGATAACCCTCTTGTAAGTGTTATCAGCTGCGGCGTGCACGCTGTTATGTTCACGTCAGGAACGTGACGCTGATAGACGGGCCTTGCCTTTTCCCCTCTCTTTCTTTCTTCCACTCGGGCTTTTCGACCCGCGACTTGTTGCCGTTAATTCAAAGCTACGTGTCGACGTGTTAAACTCGCCCCCTCCTTCCTCTTTTTTATATATACATCCTCGCTCGAATCTTTGATCCTCCTTCGCCTCTCTGTCCAGAACCTCGCTCTTTCTCCGTCAGTTAGTTCTGCGTCTTACTTCTTCCAACGGAGGACCTATATAGATATTAATGAAACGCCAAAGAGATTTTCATATCCTACGAAAAAAAATCTAACAGAATAATCTTATTCGGAGAATTATTTCAGTTTGGTTATGTTTCTGTCACATGTTATCCCAAATAATTAGCTTCAAAAATTTAAATTTTCGCGAGATCGCGCGGGAACATCTCGTTTCTAAATGTTTCCCTCCAAGTTACATATGTAGGGTGAGTCAATAACTATTGCCAACATTGAATAACTTCGAAGTAAAAAACAAAGGTGATTTTCAAATTTTCGAAGCTATTCTATTTACAAGGAAACCTAGCGAATCTAAAAATTCAAATCTTAATGAAACTTTGTATAAATAAGTTGAGTAAATAGGTGAATCTAGAAATTGTCCCACCCCAACTGAAAATTTCTAAGTTTATCTATTTACTCAACCTATATTCGTTCATAATAATTCATTCTATATAAGTTTCATTAACATCTGAATTTTCGAGTTTGCGAGATTCTTTTGTCACAAAAGAATCTCGCTTTTTATGGTGGTTGCGTTTTCTTCTGGGAGAAGTAATTTCAAAAATCTCAAGATCACGTTTTTGTTCTTTAAATATATTCAAAGTGGCAATAATCATAGACTCACCCTGTATATTGCTTGAAAGGAGTCACATTTCTTTTAATATGTTCTTGTTACGGCCTGCGGGCCGAAAATTATTAGACTTTAGGACTTCTCAAAAGTCACCGCTCGATCCCACATCCCTAACCGCCTCACAAACGCGAGCAGTCAACATTAACGGCACATTCGTATGCAGAGTCGAGTAGCTCTCGATCACAGGTGGTTCTTTCTCTCTTTGGGAGACGATTTGCTCTCCCTTGGAAGTCCCTCCTCCGAGCTCACCGAGTTCTGAGCGATTGCGGTGTCGACACCTCAAAGCGCATATAAACCCACATACATGCGGTTAAACCGATGACACGAGAGGAGGAGGAAGTGGGGTGCATGTGACAAGAGCGTAATGAATCTACCTTTCCGAGAGACGAGTGTACTTGGCGTACTCGAGGAAGGTCTCAAGATAGAAGAAACGCAACACGATGGAATTCGAAAACTGCACACGCGATTAATGTTGTCGCGACGACGACGAGGACGAGGACGAGGACGAAGAGGAGAAGTAAAGAGTGAACGAAGTCGTCGAATGGATCGGTGAAGGCGCACATTACGCGCCTCCTTCGCGGATAATCCTCCGATCAGCGGGACCTAATTATCTCGCTCCCGCGTTCGTAATTCCGTGAGCGCCCGCTAATCTCCGTTTGAACGTTTAAGTTCGCGTTGGCCCCGAGAGAATCGTCGTGATTAAGACCTTGAGTAAGGACCGATCAGAAACATTCTGTACGAGCTTAAGATACTCCACGATAACGCGACAAACTCTAAGAGCCAACTAATGAGCGCGAAGCAGGAGAAGGAAAAGCACTTGGTGGTTATCTCTCCTTCCCTCTCTTTCTCTTCCCTCTCTCTTTTCTTCCATCCCATCCTCCTTCTCATTTTCTGCCTCTCGTGGCTCGTGTTCCAACAAAAACGGGTCGGGGATCGTTCAGCAAGAAGAAGAGAACTTGAGTAGTCTTTGAACAGTAACGTGGGAAATCATCGTCGTTGGAGAAGGTGCGCATCGTCTACTCAAAAAAATAGTCTTGCAATCACATAGGGAATACCTAGATATGAGAAATTAGCTAAAATGGATAAATAACCAGCAAACACTGCGATATCGCATATGTTTTTATTTAATCAGTTGAGTGACAAAAACAGAATTCCTATCTGAACTGTTTGGGAAACTTAGCAAGAAAGTCCCTCTGTGGCGTTCATTCAGATTAAAGCCAGTCATACTTCTTATAAAAATTGATCATGGTAGACAAAAAATACAACAGACTAATGACGAGAGACGAATGTATGATCCTTACACTCACTTAAAACTTGCTTGCAGATAGTGCTAGAATGTTACTGTTGTAAATCCTATGTACTATTCTATGTACTAATTTTCTAGCACATGCAAAAACAATGGTAAATTTTAACTGTGATATTTAGAATTCTATCTGGACTAGCAAAATATTTTTTTAAGTAATTCGCCGCGGGTTAAGTCCGAAAAACGATACGATCCGCCAATTGATCAGTTGCTGCACCAAAGAAAATCTCACCTAGATTAACCAGTTCTCAATCAGTCAGCCTAAGGAAACAATTAGGACATAACCAAGAAAATTGGAATTTTTTCATTGGTTACAAAATATCTTATAGTATCAACGCATGTCCTTTTTTTATTATTATACATATGTAGACATATTTTGACATATTGACTTTTAAAATAAAGAACTGAATAAATTATATATTTAAGTAGGTAAAAAAATATTTATTTATTATGTTAGGTCAACGTCAAACAATCCACAGAGCATAACTTTCTATTCTTTTCTTCTAACATAAATCATTAACACAAAACTAATACATTGATAAAATTCTTAAAATAAAATCAAAGAATCAACGAAAAATCATCAGCGAAAAATCGATATAAAATGCACTTTTTTCATCCCACAAATAAAAACATTTTATATTATTTACTTTATTTTATGTAATAAATTGGGATAAATGACATTCGGTCTAGAGTTCTTTCAGGAAGCCTCTATAGAGAGCCAGAAATCGGGATGTCGCGCAAAATTTGGGATGGTCGGTGTCACCTAATCTCACCCTAATCTCACCTACACGTCATGCACGTTCATGCTCGCGGCCGGCGTTTTCGCGTAATAAGCCCGCGGCGTGATTCTCTTAATTATGTCCGCGCGGACGATAATCTCAGGCCCTCGTTAAGAGCTGGCCACGAGATCGCTGCCGACGCGCGCGCTCGGAATGAAACGATTTCAGTGTGATAAGTGGGATAGGTAAGGGACGCGGAGAGCTTTCGGTAGGTGTGCGGCAGGAATAATAGCGAAGGACGCCTAATAAACCTGCGGGTGCCCCGCTGCGCGCGGAAACGGAACGCGCCGGATGAGGTTGCGAGCCAATTACGGGGCGCCCGCGCGTAGCGCGCAAAGATCCCGAGGCCCGATTTATTCGATGCTTGTGTTGTCCGTTGTATACGACGGTATGTGCATGCACGAAAAGCGGACTCGAGAGAGAAACTATGATTATGCGTCGAGACTGGAACCGAGACGCTGAAAAGCTGTCGCATTTTTAGTTAATATCTTTTTATTTTTTAAACGTCATCTCCTCCGAGAACGGATTTGCATACGTGAATTTTGCGCGCGTTACTGCCCGAACGTGAAAACCTAAAAATTCCGACCGGTTTTCCTCTCTCTTAACGCTCCTCTCGCTTTTATCCTATATTTTCGTCTATAACTAATTTTAAAGCCTGAGTCCTACTCGCCATGCGACTCGTGATTGATTCGTATCGCTGTAATGAGACTGAGAATGATCTAATTTAACATATTTTTTTTTACTCGATGTAGTGATTTTAACTTCATGTGACTTCATGTGACACTTGCAATCTGCAACTTTGAATTTTCATTTTCTTACAGAAGGACGTGGAGAATATGGATGGGTGTTGACTCTAGTGATAGTCTCCTTAGTATCGGCTGGTATCGGAGCAGTGGCGATGATGATCTACTCCCACTGTCGAAGGTCAGTATACGCCTCTTTCTTACAAACACGCCTATTTTCGCGAGCAAACTAAATATTAAGAGAAAAAAATGGTCGAAAATTATCTTTTTATGCGACACGCGTAAGAATATATTTTGTCCTTGTTGAGGACAAAACTCTACTTTTGTATTCTATAACTGGTACTCTCTAAAGTACAATCAGTGTATTACTGGTAGTAATTAGTGGTTCAATTGTAAGTATAGCACTGCAATCAGTAAAATCTGACTGAGAGAATCAGTTGATAGTAGCGACTGTTCTTATTCTGAATGTAGTATGCAAACACAAACAATGTTATTGCACACTAAATCGCACGAAATACTTCTTTCTCTGGTTTAATAAGAAACATTTTTACTGGTTCACTTTTAAGAAATTATGATGGATTTTCGAAAACGATTGGCAAATTCGTTTTGCGCCGTGTAAAATCAATTGAATTTAATACTCGTTCAAATTGAAATTCTCGTGCACATAAACGGCGCACGGTTCAATTTCCGCGAGGATATGCTCCCTTCGGACACTTCGCGAAGAGAAACGGCGAGGTACTTCGATACGGATCGCCGCACCGGCAGATTCGCGAGCTGATCGCGGTTTCACCTTGCTGCGCGGCTCAACCGATTCTCTTAAATTACCACCCACCGGCGGATATCGTAATCGAGAGAGCGGATCGCCGCTAAGCGTGAGGATAAAGCAGGATCGCTAACTAGATCGGCTCACTGAGAAACCGACAGGTGATAGACGAACGGGGTGTAAAAAAGGTCGAGAGGGAGACCGATGTGATTGAATGTGCTCAACCTGAACGGAATATGTATTTTCTTTTTGTATATTTTTTATTTTTGTATATAAAAAACGTCCTTTTCATCGGGGAAAATAATTTATCAAACTTCATTACCGCGCTTCGCTCTTCACCAATAGTTTCCCTCGATAATTAGTTTATTTATGGCTATTTTTAATTTATCTGTTACAGGATAGTGAACGGTCGTGGCAGAGGTGAGTAAAATCCCTTCACGACACGCATATTACTCGTTAAACTGTACCTACGAAATTATCGCTCACGGAACTGCGCGAAATATCGTATCTGTGATCGTACATTATTTACGAACGTAACCAATAAGCAGATCTGTGATGCGATTCTGTAACTCGTTATTGCAGTTAACGATAATCTCGTTATCGTAGCTTTTCTACGATACGAAAAAGCTGTGTAACGATAACGAGACTGTCGTTAACTGCAATAACGAGTTATAGAATCGCACCACTGTTTAGTGCGAAATGCACTTTCGATTTACACAAACTTGAATGAAACTTCGCCTATCAGGAATCATCGGTAATGAAATTGGTGTAAGATTAGGCGGGTTCAAATGAAATAAGACCCGGACTTACCGTCGAGAAGCAGACTAGCCTTCCAATTATGTCGAATTAATATACCGTGTATTTGAAAGTAACATTTGTTTGAATATGTATTTTCTTTTTGTATATTTGTGATTTTTGTATGTAAAAAATGTTTTTTTTATCGGAGAAAATAATTTATCGAACTTCATTATCGCTGCGCTTCGCTAAGCAAATTTTTGTTTAATATTCTTGATTGGAATGCTAAACTTTCTAGAACTGAAAGTGTTGACTGAATAAATTTGATGACAAACTTGTGATAAATTTGCAGATATTTAAACTTATGAAGTACTTGAAAGTAAATTGGTATAGAATCACGATTAGGCGGCTTCAAATGGAATAAGATCCGGACTTACTGTCGAGACGCGGACTAGCCTTCCAATTATGTCGAATTAATATACCGTGTACAGCGCACGGCAGTTTTGCGGCGGTGCTGACAGGTCAGGCTCGAAACGATTCCCAATTATCTGAGTCCCCTACTGAGTTACAGGCGCGCGAGACCCCTCCATTCGCTCGTTTCTTTATCACACGTTAATATATGACATTCACATTCACAATAACGTCCTCTCGGATATCCTTTATGAAAGACCACACAAAGGTCTCCTTCAAGAGCGCTTCTTCCATTGTCGCGTCGTAAACCGCGAGTTGTAGAAAAATACATCATAATGTATGGACGGAGATAATTTTTTAAGTAAACGACGTCAAAATAATACGACAATTTAACAACGCACAATGCGAAAAATTGCGAGAATGTTGCTTGTCGCTTACACAATGCACTCTTCCCGACATTGTACTCGCGATATTATCATTATGACGCAGCGTAAACTTCGTCAACGACGCTCTGCAAAGTAGAAAGCTGCGAAATAAATCACCCGCTCCCGCCGATTCTCTATCGTATTATCGAAATTGATCGACTGGTGCCGTTTTCAATATAGAAAAAAAAGGTACGCTATACTTAATCAGAAATGTTTAATTGCGAGCAGCATAGTTGCATCAATCTAGTTATCTTTGTGTGATGATATGATACGATCTGACTCAATTATCCTGGTATATTAATACCATCAATGTTGTTGCGTGTGATCTGGTTGTAGCAACCAGAAATCTGTTAAGGTGGTATTTACCACAGGTACACTTTGCTTGGAGCAATCAGACATCTTCACTGCTGCAACGCCAGCAATTGCTCTGTGGTTGCAGCAACCACACAATTAGTTGTTTACTAGTGAATCTATTTGACACAACCAGCACTCACAAAAATGATCTTGCAGTCACATAGGAAAAATTATTTATACGGAAAAAGCAATCTCAGTTAAGTTAACGTGGCATGTTTGGTTTATAAGGAAAAAAACAAGATTTTTTTTCTTATAAATATGAGAAATTAGCTAAGATGGATAAATGACTAGTAGATACTGTTATATGCTAGTCATGTTTTTTTGTTTATTTAATCACTATTCATAAATTTCTATCTGAACTATTTGTGAAATTTAACAAGAAGATTTAATCTATCTGTGACGTCCATTTAGATTAAAACTAGTCACATTTCTTATAAAAATTAATTATAGTAGATACAAAAAAGTTAGCGACAAAAAACAAACGAATCTATAATTCTTATTTATAAATTTCCTTGCAAATATTGTTAGAAATATTGCTGCTGCTGTAAATTCTACGTTATCACAGACAATTTTCTAGTAGGTACAAAAAAACAACGATAAATTTTAACTGTGATATTTAAGATTCTATGCGGACCAGCAAAATATTCTTTCGAGTATTTTTTATGTGCTATACTACTACCTGATTAACGCCATACCGATTTTTGATTAATTTGATAACAGAATCCTGGTAACTTTAATGTTCTGGTTCGTTCATATTTCAACAGAAATATGGTTAATCCAATCAAACGTTCTTTTCCGTGCGAAAAAAGAAGAAAATAGAGCGGCAGTCAGTCGGACCAACCAACGTGACGCTCCAGGAACGTGAGACACTCTCGTATTAGGTGCCGTCTGTTATCGAGGGGCGAGGGTGACACGTAGCTCTCTCTCTCTCCCCCGACTACGTGTCGTCCACGGAGGTTGGCTCACGATGTCGCCGTCGCAGCCACGTAACGACGACCGTATCGGATCATTTCAGGCGGTGAAAGGGCCCGAACGGAAAATGGGGCCTCGTTCGCAAGCTCCTGCACACGAGCGTCGCGCATAACGGTGGCCACCGGCTGACGACGTGCGGCGACGGGCCCGTTGTCGGCGCCGAGGCGGACGGAGAACGACGCGACATGGCGTCGAGTGTCAGGCATCGATTGGAGTTTAATTAGTTCGCATAATGCAAGCCGTTAGTGTGCACTAACCGCGGCGCTCGTGTTCGCCGTCGTGCTGCTCCGTGTCGCGCGTTTAAAGGATAGCTTCAGGGGAGCTGCGCGACGCGACGCGACGGACGATACAAAGAAACGCGTCTAATTAACTTTCTGATTTAAAGTCAGCCGCGGTACGATACGATCGACGAGCAGCGGCGAACGCAAAAAGACAAGGAGCGGCCGGGAGGGCAGAGGGACCGCAGGGTGCTACCGCCTGGGACGCCGGGGTCACCCGAATTAATTATCCGACACTCGTTTCACCGCAGCCACCTCCCGAACCACGACTCTGGCCACCGTCGTGGGTTCTCTCGGGGCGCGAAGAGCGCTTAAATCCCCCGGCGGAATTAAGCGCAATCAAAGGAGAGAGGCGCTTCGCGAGATCTCCGTCGATTCAATGCAAATGTGCCGTCATGAGATTTCCTATCTACGATAATGCTGTTAGTAGTCCCTTCGCGTCGAAAATCAACGTCTGGGGTGGTCCACGGCGCGCAGTTCGTACTTGCGACTCGCGAGAGCGCGCGATTTCGTCGCTCCTGCCTCCGGGGACGACTCCTAATCCGGTTCTGGAGCGGATAAGAGAGGCACGAAATAGCCAAGATACAATTACGCGTTAAGACGCGATGATTTATTGCCACCGCTGGAAACAATGGCGGTCGTTAATCGCATAATGACACGTAGGAAGGGGGAAATTTCTCGGCGATGAAATGAGATCCTGTTTGGAAATGAGAATGGAAATTTTTACCATCGAGTATATAACAATCTATCTCTGTGCTCTCCATAAAACTTCTCGGCTATTAGATACATTTTCCATTTCACCAATTCATCTCTCTCACTGCACGCACACACACACACGCGCGTGCGTGTAGGGTGCAACATTTGAATCGGGGCACTTACATGTGTGAGAATGTAGTAAAATAAAAAAAATATTTCAGATGAATGTTATCGAATTTTAAAGAGCAGATATGGTAGTACTATGACCTTTGTAGTAAACACGCCAAGGTCTTTTCACGATCAGTTTACATTTTTTTAATGGAATTATATGGTTTTTAACACAAATCAACTCCTAGAGTCATTCTGTGTATAAAAGTACCGGGATAAAATCGGGATTTTATTTAAAATAATTCAAACTGGCTTTGAAAAAGCCTTGGCACGTTCAGCACAAACACAAGCTAACAGCACTCTATCGTTCTTTGAAACTCTACAACTTTAGTCTGAAACATTCTTTTTTATTTTGCTTTGTTTTTGTATACTTGGAAGTCTCAATTTAAATGTCGCACTCTATATATGATCTATAAAATCTACTAAATCTCTATAATTCGAATCAACAGCGATCCTGATCGAGAGTTCAGTCTGTGATCATGGAATGTAATCTCGTTATACCGACAATATTTCACGAGATTAGATTGAATATCTAATTTGGCAAAAAATGAATTAGTGAAAGTTCGTTAATAGTACATCCTCTCGCCATACGTAAGGATTGCCTTAAGTGCCACCGGGCGAGCCAGCGCATTAATGGACGGCTGAAAGAGGCTGTTCCCGTGCAAAAAAGAACGGGACTCTATACACGTTAGATTCCCCCGCGATCCCTCCAGATACAATGACGACCGGGGACTCGGGTAGAAAAGGTGAGGCGAATCCATTAATCGGCTTATCGCGCATCGACTGGAACGATATTTCGGATCAATCGGTGTGTATAATACGTCAGAAATTCACGATGCCAGCAACGTACGCCCGACGCGTTACACTCTCGCGCATATTGCTACACGAGATGAGATTCAGGATCTTCGCTTCATGGAAATCAGAATCTCGTATGAGATCAATCACAACGGATATATGATGAATTAAAGCGTGAGAGAGAAGGTAGATTATATGTCGTACACGCTTAATTAAACGACATATTTTTCTCTTGTTCTTCTTGATCAAACAAACCGATATTTCTCAATATCGTGTATAGGACTTTTATGTTCACTTTAATCCGTTCTATGTTTCCGCAAAAATTGCAAAGGAGAGTTTAGGATATTCCGCATAACAAACTTATCAATTCAAGAAGTGATGTAACGCGTAGACAGATGACTCACAATACAGAGGTCTCGGGTTCGAGTTGGATAAAGTTCTTCAAATACAATGGGTATCATCGAATTAATTAAATTTTTTAACTCAATTAATTAATTGTGATCCTTTGTAACAACTTTCAATTAAGAAAGTAATAAAATTTTCGCGTCTAACGTCTTCAGTTCTGCAACGGTGGGACCGAGAACCT